CGAGTTGCGTAAAAGACAGGCACCGAACGTGTCGCAAAAAATGCTTTATTTCGTAGCTCACATCGAAAGGCCAATCTTTGAAAGGGAATATTGCATCTGAATACCCTTACTTCATCGAAATTGACTATCATCAAATGTGTACAGCACATTATTAAGCATGGAAATATCCCCCAAAATATTTTCACATTTGCCGAATCCCACGCGATGTTTGACGCGACTACAACGTTATGACCTTTGTTTGTCCTGTTTTTATGTTCGATTTCATGTATAACATGGGATCTTGCAGTGAAAGGAAACTGAGCTATTTTGTCTATAGTGGCTACCTTTATGATAATTATGTTGTGATAATTGAGTGAAAAAAATAACTTGTACTTTTCTAATATTACAGCTTATTAATCAACATCAAGAGCAATTTATTCAAATGTTGAATAATCCTGTTGGAGGTGAACAGCAAAGCGGCGGAGGGGGAGGTGGTGGTGGCAGTGGCGGTGGTGCCCCTACTAGTGGGGGTCAAGTAGGTACAGGTCCTGGTGGAACGAGTTACATACAAGTTACACCACAAGAAAAAGAAGCAATTGAACGGGTAAGTTTGGGTAAAGGTTGTTTATATTGTTGCTCCCTATTATATCAGAATGTTGTAATGAATGAATTTTACGTTTTTACAGGTAATAAAATGGTAAGTTTCATTTACAGTAAAAAATCGTTTTTTTCAAAATTACAGACAAAGCAAATTCCAAATTACCTATTACATTTTTAGAATTGGAAATTTCGTACAAATTACGACATTTAATATGGAAAATGCTTTATAATGCTTACAAATAAATATGATCTTTGTACAAATTATGGACGAATAAAACAACTGATTACATTTTACAAATTTTCCATGTCTACGAATTTACTTTTTTTATTTATTTAAATTACATTATTATGAAAATGAAAGCAATGGATTACAGCTTACGAAAATACCCCATGCCGACCCTCTGTAGAGCATCTGCTTCAAAATCAATATTATCCAAGATTTAAAGAAACATGGGGAAAAAAGTGGG